TGAAAGAAATCCTTATCAAATGGCTTGATCCAAAACCCACTGAAGTCAATAAGAGTCTTCTCATTGATTCCAATGTATGTCTTTCCATTGTTTTCAATAGACTTTGGATTGGGACTAGGGATGTAAGCAACTAGTCAACTATCTGACAAGCATATGTTTATTGGATAGTCGCTCAACTAGTCGCTTCCTCCCCCCTCTTGCTGCCTCTCTCAGAGAGAGGCAGCAAAGGGGGAACAGGATTTGGTGATGGGGGGAACCAGCAGGACTCTTGCTCCATTTCAAAAGCAGAAGTGCCACCGGAGCAGGGAGTGAGCGGGGGATTCAAGCAATCCCCCGCTGGCTCTATGCTCCCTGCTTTTGAAATGTACAATAGCCATGGAACTAAGGTTGACCAGGGCTCCTATCTGCTGAAAATCTGAACCTTAGGCTTATTTTGTTTTGACTCAAATTATTTTTTTAAAAAGTTTTATAAAGCATAACTAGGGTTCTGATTTCTAATGTATACAGGACATCAGATTCACTGTTCCCTGGCCTACAAGAAGAGGTACATAGGGTAACACGTCATTTAATAACATTAGGATAGCCAAATATATCACCACCACCACGCACTCACAATGTTACTGTCCAACCACCAATGTGACGCAACACTAATTACACAAATTTACAAGTCGGGTTCTATTTGCATATATTTACAGTCAAACCTTTGCTGTAGATTTCATAACTGCTATTTGACAGTTTAACTCCTCAGACTGTACAGTGAGGACAAAAGGGCAAATAAAAACAGTATTACTTTAATTCTTCAAAGAAAACCTGATGTCATTGAATGTTCATGGATTAAATATTCTCTATTTAAGCCACTTCCTTGAAGATTCAAAGGGGTGCCTGAGAGAAACATTGAATTTTCTTTATAAAAGCAGATTAAAATTGTTTTTATTTACCATTTTGTTCCCAGTTTATACCACCTATGGAATTTAATTTCCAATTAGACGTTATCCAGTCTAAACTAAAATAAAGGTTTGAGTGTGATTCTACCCTTTCAACATAAAGCAGGGAACAATTCTAATAGGTTATGTAATATACTGAAGCTATAAATTGAATATGGATTAAAACAAAATATTTTTCTTAGTTTTACCAGTTTGAATGTAATGCAATGAAGAAGTGGATTAATGATGTAGAATTACAGTGGTTACTTAGGCCTAAACTGCACAAAAACGTGATACAAGACTTTAAAATGTGTGATTATATAGAAAGAACTCAGCTATATTTTCCTTCAAGACGATCTAATAATTCATTGCAAAGAAGTGTCTCAAAAGTGTTTGATATTTTATTAAATAGCACTACACCAAACCGGATAAGAATCACTCACTTCATTTCTTGCTCTTTATCAAGAAAGATGTATAGTGGCAAGTGGGACATTTATAATAGTTAGAGTTGTTTGTTTGTTTGTTATGATTGTTCAGAAAATAAAACCTGGGAGTATCATTTTGGTTTGGGGTAGTAGATTGCAAAGGACTGAGACAATTGTTATCTTTTACATAATACCCAGTAATATTACATAGCCATATTCAGTTGTTAAACTGTTATATATGCATCTGGATTACATAGATCAAAGCACAGATCAAGTATAATTTATAAACACATTTCTGTATTACCTTAAGAACCTACATGCACACACATGGGAAGAAAGGAAGGGCAGTAATAAGATTAGAATTATTTTAATGAAATTGATTCCCTAAACCAGGGTCAATTTCAGAGCCAGGATTTTAACCCCCGATACATTATCCAGGCCTGACCACTTCCCTTTCTTCCAGCTGGCACATGCTGGTGAGCTGTCCCAGCAGGACATTCCTATTAGTGTTACTACTGTTAGATACTACAAGTTCTATCAACACTTAGCTTTGGAAGCACTTGGTGGTGGAGAGAATGGGGAAGAAGGAAAAGAATAGGAAAAAAGAAAAAGAGAGAAAACGGTCAAGAGAAAAATCAGAGAAGAATGTTTCCTGGGTGAGGAAGGAAGGAGTTCAACAGCCAGAACTCTGAAAAGCCAATGAAAACACTGGGAATTGGCAGAATTTGATTTAAGGTAAGAAAATAAATGGAGCCTGAACCTCTTTCAGAATGTTTTCTACTTTTGGCTACTTATGGAACATAGCCCCATGGTTACAAATCTCTGAAAGGAAAGTAACCCTGCTCTACCAATGGTTGCTAGTTTGCATATTTATTTCCACACAAAAACCTCCTTTAAACAGTTTCCGTGGAAGCAGAAAGGTCCTGCCTCATAAAAGAACCTTTCTTCTCCACAGTAGTCTTCAAATGTCTCTGGAAAGATGTATCTTTGAATCCCATACTGACAATATGATATCTCTTCTCTGTCCTCTGACATTCTCTGAGGGTATGTCTATACTTGCAGCCTAATTTGAACTAGGGCTGTAAATGTAGGCATTCAGAATTACAAATCAAGCCTGGGATTTAAATATCCCATGCTTGATTTTCATCTTCCTGGCCATGCACCATTTTTGAAATTTACAAGCCCGATGTAACTGCCCGCGTCTACACATGGCAGTGAAACGGGTGTTCGAAATAAAGCCCTAGTTCAAACTATCTGTTATTCCTCCTGCAATGAGGTTTAATAGGTGGAGACACAGGCAGTTACTTCAGGCTTGTAAATTTCCAAAAATGGCGCCCGGCCGAGAAGATGCAAATCAAGTGCGGGATATTTAAATCCCGGGCTTGATTTGCAATTCCAAATGCCTACATTTGCAGCCCTAGTTCGAACTAGGCTGCAAGTGTAGATATACACTCAGTGCTTTAGCTGATAGGGGAAGGGAAGAGAAGAGAAAGGGGAGATGCTAATCCCAATGGGAATGACGATTTATCACTTATCCACCATTGCATCCTCAAGGAATTACCATGATGGAGGGGCACTTACTACAAGGGCTTTCTTATTGAGAAAAATTTAAAGAAATTAACTAATTCAATTCAAAATCTAGTTAGTAAATGCTTTTAACCCAGTATCTCCTTTCTTAAAATCTGCTCCTCACCTCTTTTTCTGCTTTAAATTTGTATATCTCTACTCCTTGCTCCATTCATCTAAAGAAGTGGGTTGTACCCACTTCATTATACTATCTATACTTTGTTAGTCTCCAAAGTGCTACAGGATCGCTCAATTTTAAAATGTCCTAAAATCCATTTGTCTTGCATTGATAACTTGCAAAATTAAGCAAAATTAGTAAAAGCAAGGAATAACATGGTGTAAAGTATATGTACATCAATGCTTCACAGTTGATGTAGTTAAAGCAATGAAACATTACCGTCTGAGGCAAATTTCATTAATTTCAGGTTTACTAAAAGGTGCTGTGAGACCCTAAATAAGATGTACCAACTTTGTTTTGCAAGCATGTCCTTGCATATTCCTCCATCCTCCCTGAAATTCTTGTGTATTTAAATACCTTGTCTGCAGATGAGAACAGAAAAGACAAACAGTTTCTGTCTACAGTAACCAAAATGGAGGTCAAGAAATGGTTGGTTGTACCACTGAGCATCACCAGTAAAACTGTGCCCTCACCCCAGGGCCATCAGACCACTGACTGGTAACATAATGATATGTCTATACTACTAAGACCATGTTTACATAACACGCACTACCGCAGCACAGCTACAGTGCTGCTGCTGTGCCACTGTAATGTGGATGCTTCCTACACTGACAGAATGGGTTTTTCCGTTAATGTAGATAATACACCTCTCTAAGTGGCAATAGCAAGGTCAATGGAAGAGTTCTTCCATCAGCCCAGACCCAGATAAACTGGTGGTTAGGTCAACATAAGTATGTGGCACAAAATGTGAATTTTGTAACAGCCCTGAGGGATTTGGTTAGGTTGCTCTAATTTTTAAGTGTATACCAGGCCTGAGACCGTACCAGTATAACTATATCAGTGTAACTTTGCCCAGGGGCTCTGGAACGGGGAGGCCATGGTCTCACTACTTTTTATTGGCTGTACGGGCAAACACTGGGAGGAGGGAAGGGTGAAGGAACACAGAATTGAGTGTGTAGCGGTGTCTTGGAGGGTTAATGAGGTGGCATGGGATTGGAAAGCCCTCTTCCATCAACACAGCTGTGTCCATCTTCGAGAGTTTCTTGATACAGATAGGCTGTGGCTATGAAGATATAACTTAGCAGTGTATACCAGGTCCAAGTCTTTTGTTCATATTGGTGGTTCCAGTGAAGCTTACAATGGTATTTTCAGAGTGGAAGGGAAGGCATTGGAATCACATGGATTCTGTCACTTATGAGAGCTCTATCCTACCACATAGGATCTCCCTTTTTGGCCACTGTTCTGCACTGTGTCCCCTTTCAAGGCTTTCTATGAGGCAATTTGACAGGAACCCCCTCTCTTCTCTTAAATGTCTGGCACTTGCACTAGGTGACAATAGTGCATACTCAGTACTCAGGATCTATTTCTGTGACATTGTACATTATTTCTTGCTGATTTGATTCCAAACTGACCTCAGAAACATTTTTAATCAGCAAACTTATCCCTAACACACTGGGGCATGCAGGATCATGTGCCCCCTCCCCCCCCCCCC